GCAACGGCTGATCTCAGCTGTTGCAAGTAGGATGTGGAGGAGGTTTCTCAAGGAGGGGATCCAAACTCCCTTTGTTGACCTCTTTGCGCTTAATTTTATTCAAAATTAAATTGAATAAAGAGTATTGTATGCAAAGTCTGTGGTGCGATTCGGATTATTGAAGAATAAAATTATAAATTGAATGATAAATTAATAAATTGTAATTTGAGTGATTTTGAATGGATTAAAGAATATTGTAATTAATTATTAAATATTTGTATAATATAATATGAATTTATAATATTATATATATATATTATAAACTAATTTTATATAATATGTTTCATATGTATAACTATTAATTTGTAATAAATTTAACATTTTAAATTTTTATCATATTTATTTTTACTTTGATATTTAATTAGAAGTTAAAAAATATATATGTATTAATTATAGCAGAGCAACACGGTTTTGAATGCGGATTATAAAATTTAAAGTTTAATTCTCGGTTAATGGATTGAACGGTGTAGATTGATACGAATCAATACAATTCTACAAATTATACGATATTTTGCACAAATCTAATTGTATAAATCAATTAACACATTTCTAAATCATTCCCATTTAAAAATATATATAAAAATACATAATTCTGTTATGATTTGTAAATTGAGATGTACATTAGACATTTCATCTAATCTAATCGTAATTATAAAACACATTCTAAGACATGAGAGGTAAGAGCATCTCTATCTGAAATGTCAATTTTGAGGTGGCACTTGAGGTGTAAAGAGAGTCGCACTCTTTCTCTCTCTCTCTCTCTAGTTTGAGAGCTTCTTTCTCTAAACTTTTCTTCCTCTAGGGTTTTCAGACTTGGTGGCTGCCAGCAGTGGGGGAGGGGGTTCTGGCAGCCTTCGTCCTCCTCTCTCCTCTCCCTACCCCTCTCTTGCTCTTTTCCTTTTCTTACTTTACTTTCCAATAACTTGAAGGCTTTGGCTCCACCCTCTCCCTCCTTTGTGAGGTGTTTCTTTCTCCTACCCATTCACTCTGGGAGTGACCTTCACGGATCCAAGCCTTCCCCGCCACCCTCACCACCTCTTCCTCGCCGTCTTCTCCATTGCCAAATTCATCGACGCCGCTGCCGGTTTTTGTTTGGTTGTGGGTTTGTTTTTGATTTGTTGTTTGGTTTTAATCTCAAGTTGTTTCCTTTGTATTTTCTTTTCCTACTGTTTGTTTGCTATTTCTGGGTTTGTTTGGTTTCTTATAGTCCATCTATACAGATTTGTTAAGCTTACCCTTATTGTAGTTGGAATCTATGATTTATCTCGGACATGCTCTGCTGCTGAACTTTTATGATCTGCTCTGTTTCGCAGTACGAGCACGAGAACAAAATGTACATCTGAATATTTTCATAGTTTTCTTCCTTAGTGCTTCTTGCTTTATTTTAACATTGTTTGGTGTAAGTTTTGGATTGGATGAACTCTTGTAAGTGCCGTTTAGCCTTCTTAAATGAAATATTTATTTCAATAAAAAAAAAAAAGGTGGCACTTTTGACAACAAAATTTGACATCTAGTTGTGCTCCTTTTGAATCTTTAAAAGTGAGGTGAATTTGGCACGTCTTAAAGTATCTCCAATAGTACATTAATTTTTTTTATCAAATTTGAATAAAAGTTTCATTTAATATCAAGTGCTTCAACAGAGGTTTTTTAAGCTTCATCAGATCATCGGTTGATCGGGCAGGTATTTGGCTGGTTGACCAGCTAATGTAAATTTTTCACAAATTTTTGGCTTGAGGTAGTCATCTAGGGAGTTGACTGGGTGGACGACCGGGAGGTCAATTGGTTAGTGTAATTTTTGTCTTAAGGTGGTCATCTAAGAAGACATTCGGTGGTGAAAATTAAACGGTTATGAACAGTGATTTGATGAAAGGTATATGGTTTTCAGTTTGATAAAAGAAAAGTAAAATTGTGAATTTGATACCTATTTGATAAAACCGTTAGAGCAGAAAAATTAGTGATTTTGCACTAAATCCAAATTTAATGATAAATTTAAGTAATCATTAGAGATAGTCTTAACAATGTCAAATTCCACGTACCAAAAAGAAAATGTCAATTGTTTTTGTTTTCATTATTTTAATAGTGAAGACCAATAAAAGAGTTTAAAAACAATTAAAGTTTATACAATTAAATAATAAATTTGACACATCGGATGGAGCATTTTTTTTAGATATGTCAAATTTGTATATGTCAATTTGACATCTAAATCTTTAAAAAAAATTCACATACAAAATTTTGAAAATTTAGATAAAAACATTCTAAGTACATGAAATTAAAGTTAATTTTGCCTCTTAGTAAATTGATGACAAGGTGTAATTTGTGTAATAAGATTACTTATGTATAACAATATTTAAATATTTTAACTTGGATCGTTAAAAGATGTGCGAGCGATTATGTAATTATGTATTTATTTTCAAATTGATTAAATTTTGCGCACATCAAAGTGAATTTGTCCATAGTGACATATAGTGTCATTTTGGGAACATAGTAAAAAGTCACGTTTTTGGACAAAATGTTTAAAAACGTGACTGCCAAAAATGCAACAAAATTCTTTTGAGAAGTGTCAAAAACGCAGCCCTAAAATTACAAATTAGGGCCTATGAAAATAAAATAAAAAAATAAATCTCTTATGTTAGGTAAGAGTATTTTCATCATTTTAATTTGATTTAACACCATAAATAAATATTAAACTAAAAAGCAAAAAGTCAACTTTTTACCAACTTCCCAAATCACTTTAAAAAAAGTCAAAAAACTTGATAAAAAATCAAAAGCCAACTTTTTATCAACTTTCCAAAACAACCCATAATGTGGTCACCTTAACTGAGGCTTTTCCCAATATAAGCCTTTTTTCCATTGTATTTCTAAAACTAGGTCAACTTCTGACGGAATGCCAAAACTAAGCTAAAACGCCATTACTATTCGCGCTTTTACTGTTAGGAGGCCAAAAGTTGATGAATAGTGAAATCGCTATTTGAAATCGCGATTTTAATTAAGAAAACGCTGTTCCAAATCGCGATTTTAACATAAAATTTTTTTTTGAAAAAAACGCTATTTAAAATAGCACTTTTACTGTGCATATAATAATTTTTTTTTTTTTTTTTTTTTAAAACGCCATTTTGAAATGGCGTTTCTTACTACCAACCAAAGCCAACCCACACAATGACACACACACCAATGGCCACAAGCCACACAACCACCACTCAAGCATTGAAATAATATAATTTTTATATAATAATAATAATTATAATAATTAATTATATAATTTTTATAATTTTCGTAAATATAAATCATTTTTAGGTTATGAATGGTTTGATTTATAATACGTATGTATGTAAGGATAAAAATTTTATAATCAAAAATAATTTTTATAATCAAAAACAATTTATAATACGTATGTATTATAAAAAATTTTATAATAATTATAATACGTATGTATTATTTGAATCTTTACATTTTTTATTTAAAATTTTCACAGTAAACCCATCTTCACATTTTATAATACGTATGTATTATTCAAAAATATTTATAAAAATTTATAATTAATACGTATATAAATAATTTAATACGTACTTCACATTTACATTACAGTAAACCCATCTTCACATTTACATATGTATGGTTTAAGGGTAAATTTTTTGATAAATGACTTAAATGATAAATCAAACCATCCTAACCTAAATTTTTACATTTACATATGTATGTTTAAGGGTAAATTTTTTGATAAATGACTTAAATGATAAATCAAACATCCATAACCTAAATTTTTTATCCTTACATACGTATGGTTTAAATAATTTAATAAAAATTATTGTCATACGTATGTAAAAATCGATTATAAAAATTGCAAAAATTATTACAAAATTATAATTATTCAAAAAATTATAATCAATTTTTGCAATTTTTATAATCGATTTTTACATACGTATGGCAATAATTTTTATAAATTATTTAAACCATACGTTGTAAGGGTAAAAATTTTAGGTTATGAATGGTTTGATTTATCTTGAAGTCATTTATAAAAAAATTTACCCTTAAACCATACGTATGTAAAGTGTGAAGATGGGTTTTACTGTAAATGTAAATGTGAAGATACGTATTAAATTATTTACATACGTATTAATTATAAATTTTTTATAAATTATTTTTATAATACATACGTATTATAAAATGTGAAGATGGGTTTACTGTGAAAAATTTTTAAATAAAAATGTAAAGATTCAAATAATACATACGTATTATAAAATTATTAATAAATTTTTATATAATACATACGTATTATAATGTTTTTGATTATAAAATTTTTTATCCTTCGTATTATAAATCAAACCATTCATAACCTAAAAATGATTTATATTTACGAAAATTATAAAAATTATATAATTGACTATTATAAATTATTATTATATATAAAAATTATATTATTTCAATGCTTGAGTGTTGTGGGTGTGGCCATGTGTGTGTGTGTCATTGTGTGGGTTGGCTTTGGTTGGTGATTCAACAGTAGAAACGCCATTTCAAATGGCGTTTTTAAAAAAAAAAAAAAAAAAAAAAATTATTATATGCACAGTAAAAGCGCTTTTTTAAATAGCGTTTTCTTCAGAAATTTTTTTTATGTTAAAAGCGCGATTTGGAACAGCGTTTTCTTAATTAAAATCGCGATTTCAAATAGCGATTTCACTATTCATCAACTTTTGGCCTCCTAACAGTAAAAGCGCGAATAGTAATGGCGTTTTAGCTTAGTTTTGGAATTCCATCAGAAGTTGACCTAGTTTTGAAAATACAATGAAAAAAAGGCTTATATTGGGAAAAGCCTCACCTTAACTTTATATTATTAAAAAATAGTTAGATCCACCAATCCACATAATATACTTAAAATATCAAAATTTTAAAGTTTTGTTTGGATGTCAGATTTAGACAGAAACTTATAATGCGAAAGAAAATGTGAGATAAATAGAAGGAAAAAAAAAGAAAAAAGGTTTAACTTATATTTATATACTTTTTTTTTTTTTTTTTATGGGTCGCAATAAATCTTTGCCCAAATTAGACACAAACACAGCCTTATGGGTGAAGTGCTAGATACAGATGCACTTCATTATAAGAATGAAGAGTGGGTAAAACTGGAGACCTGTTGTATATTGATCTTATAAGAAGGGGGAAAAAACAAACATAAGAAAAGGTGCATCACAAATCCTTCTATGCCTTGGTTTTGCAAACTCAATATCCCTTGCCACTTCACCTCTCTCACTTTTATGAAGTGTTGGTGCTCCCTGCCTTCTCCTATATGTGATCTTTAAGAATTTTTCTTAGGTACTCTAGCTGCTCAAACCCACCTTGAACTTCCTCCCACTGCAAAAGACATAACAAAAAAGGGCATCATATCAGTTTCTTATCCTTATTTCTGAAATTATGTTTATAAGTTATTAAATAAATAAAAAAAGGAGAGAGAGAGAGAGACAGACAGACAGACCACATGATGAAGCCATGACTAGTGTAAGAATTTTGAGAGAAAAAAATAAATTAAGAACATTCAAGAGGATATACCATAATTATTTGCAAACGATATAGTTTAGTCAGCGAAACAAGAGTAAACTTTAAGTTAGAATCGTGGTTTTTAGAATCTAAACAGTTTAGGTTAAGTAGGATGACGACATAATATATAGCGTGGAACTCTAGCAATATTAGAATTAGGGATGAAGATAGAGGAAAACATGATGGCAAAATACTAAGTGATCATTTTTGATATCTTGAGTCGATTATTCATAATGATTGAGAGAAGGAGGTGGACCATAAAATCAAAGTGGAAGGGATGAAATGAAAGACTGCATTGTGTGTTTAGTTGTATGAAGTAGGTGCAGGGGCAAGGGAGTGAGGGCACGCTGAAGACTATGATGTTTGGAGTTCCTAGAGGAGAGTGTTTCTTTATTTTATATATAAACACATAAATATACTTTAAGAACTTTTTAAAATAAAAACAATAAGTGATCACTTAAAATTGTTAAATATAAACATAAAAAATTCTCATTACAATATTAACAATTCATCACTACTAACAAAAATATTTACACAATTCTCACAGAACCCAAATTGAAGATGAATAAAAAAATTCTCATCCTTTAGTTCTCAAGAGGAATGGCAAAATTTAGGATAAATATATGTTCTCCATAGATAAATATATTTTCTATAACTTCTTTTTTTAACTTTTTTTTTTTTTTTTTTTCTTCTCTTTTTTTGGGATTCAAATGTTTGAGAGTGGTCTCATTCTAGTTGGAAATCTGATTTTTTCTCAACAGAAATGCTGTTCTAGTTCAATTCTTGCTCTCAACTGCAGAATTGTGATTCTAGAGCGAAAACATCACCCCCAATATGCAATTTCTACAATTAAGGTTGTGTGAGTGCAAGATTCCTATTAAATTGAAGGGAATTTTTTTAGGAGTGCAATAAGACCTACTATGATGTGTGGTACCAAAAATTGGGTGGTTAAGAAAAAAACATGTTCAAAAAATGAAAGTAGCTGAAATGAAAAATTAAAATGGATGAGTGGTGTTACAAGAAAAGAAATGAATCTACCTGGGAGCAATTAAAATTGGAACTAATTGCCGATAAAAAAAGGTAAAGCCATTTGAGATGATATGGTCATGTGTATCATAGACCAATTAATGCATTTGTAAGAAGTGATTGATCCACATGGAGGGTGGTCAATGAAACAGAAGGCCGATGAGAACATAGGTTGAGACGATAAGAAAGAACATTATTACTTTAAACTTCACCGAATACGACTTCAAACAGAATCTATTTAGGGAAATGGATCGATGTAGCCAAACCCAAGTAATTAGACAAAGGCTTGTTGAGTATAGTAGAGCTTCAGACCTTAGAATCAGTTTTCACACGCTTTTGAGTAAATAATTCTTACTCTCCTCATTAGAATTGCTATCTTTGTTTATTCACATACATTATTGTGGCTGGTCAACAATTATTACAACCATCCTTAACCATTCTTTTGATTCCCTTTTTATTTTCTAAAAACTAATCTCATGGAAAACTTGCCTATTAGTCCTCAATCTTGAATTAAGTATCTTCCAAAATTTCATATCAAAGCATAATAACATGTAAAAATGATTTTAATTTTAATTTTTATAAGAAAGACATAAGGCGTCGAAAAATGACATTTGGCGTGCTTAAATGTTTTGTACGCACACACATGACCCTATCTAGTTATGCCCCTGACTTCATTACTCATCAAAAGAAATATGTAGCTATACAAGTGGTTCTAAAATATGTAAATTAATCTACAAGTCCCAAAAAATTGCTTAAAATTTCCGTAATTAGTTTGAATATTCGTCATTTGTTCCCAAAGTTTTGCAATGCCCATTCATGTTTGCAATCCATCAACATATGTAGGTGCAAAACACCCTTCCAATAGAATTTTATTCCTTTATCCCACCTCAACCCCAGAATTAAATTGTTATATATTGCGAACATATGTACATGCAAATCTAACATTGATGCAGAAATGTTAAATGTGGGAATTTACCTCTTGGTGAGAAACATATACTATCTTCCAACCAGCAGCAGCTATATATCGGCGTTTCAGCATTGTATGTCCCAAAGGAACTCCTGTAGAGAAGAATAACATCAGTATACAGGATATGCTAAAACATTTGGGCTGTGTTTCGATAATGGATTTGGATAAAGATTTGGAAAGAGAAAGGAAAAAGTGAGCGAAATGAAGTCATTTCTTTCCAAATCCCTACCTCAAATCCATGATCCAAACACAGCCTTAATGAACATAGGATAACATGTTACCCACCAGAATTTCTAGAGAAATGCGTTGGCCCATCAATCTCCAGAGCAACTTTTTGATCAACCAAGGCCGCATCCAAAGTGTACCCATCCACACAATACTCCTTGACCCAATCAAGGCCAGTGGAAACAAGAAGACGAGCAACTTCCCTCTGAAATGAGGAAGTCGTTTTCTGATTAAACCTCTTAGTTTTTCCAGCACAAGCAATTTTCTCCTCTAGATCACTCCTTAGAGATAACTGAAGATGTGGATATTCAAGCTTTAAGCACTGGTTCACAAGATGAACCTGAGAAGCGAAAATTATATCCTCCCTATACTGTGGCGATATTCTTTGCTCCTCAAAGTGGCTTAGAGTTCTCCACACATGGAAAAAGAAAATCCGATCCAATTGCCCAAGAACAGCATAAGACCAGGCTATATTTCCAAGCTGATCTCTGTTGAAATTTAGCACATGAGAGCCTAAGACTCTGTCCCGGTCAGCATCTAGTTTTTCCTCATCTAAGCAGCATTTGAATGTGTCAGCATACTTGAAAGCGTCATCAAGAGATTCCAGTAAAGGGTCAGCTGGGTTATATAAAGAAGCGAAAGCCCACAGGACCTGAGCCAACTCTTGCTCCTGGAAAGTGTGAATTATATTCGAAGCCCTTTTTGATAATTCTGAAAAGAGATCAGGAGCTGAGTGCTGCATTGAAGCAAAAGCACCGGCTACATTAGCAACATTCTGTGAGTTGAAGTCACTGACCATGGTCAAGGCCACCTCTGCTACTCTATCCATTTCCGACAAGTAAAGAAGCTCACCTCCAATCTTCGACAATGCCCACGAAATATTCGAGATACCTTGAGGAGAGCATTCCGGCAATGCAGTCATTGCAATACCCACGAGCATAGACATCTCTCTTTGGCGGGCAAATGCCAACCTAAGAGTCCTTGTCATCGAAACTTTCTCCATGTTCTTAGCTATTCGATGCAGTGCAGTGGCAATGTTCAAAGGAGACAGAGGCGAAGGGCTCAAGCCTTTGGCGACGGCCAAAATTGTCTCGGCAGTAACTTCCAATACTTCTTCTGCAGTCTGTGCTTCGACAATTGATCTGTTCAGGTTGACTTCTTTCTGGCGATCAGAAGGCCCGGAGAATTGTGAAAGCCTTTGAACAAAGGTTTCCATGTTTCTCTCCTTCATTTCTTCAAACATCCCACCTGCAACCATACTCAAATTCCTTGAAAGAGGATTCTTGTTATTTTCTAGGTCAAAATCTTCCTCCAAATCCAAATCCTCATCCTCGTCAACTAGCCTTTTTTTCTTATTCTTTATTGGCAGTTTATTCTTGGTGGTGTTGTTTTTCTTCTTCTTCTTCCTATTCTTTTTATTAATCAAGTCCTCCATGGAATGGATCAAGCCCCTTGATTCAATAGACTTGAGGGCAATCTTCCTGGCCTTGACACACCAGTCCATGCCATCATCATCATAAGTGTTTTGGGGCATCTTTGAGTTTTGTTTTTGTTGCAGTTGTTTTCGTTTTTTAGGAGGTAGGAAATTATGGGGGTGGAGCTCCCCAAGGAATTCTGATTCCCAATCCATACTAGAAGAATCTTCACCATCATCACTATCATCAGCAGTAGCAGCAGCATTATCTAAATTTCTAAGGGAAATAGAATTATTCTCTCTGCCTAGAGCCATGCAGTAACTTTTATGGAAAAAATCCATCTTGGATGTCCTGATGGAGTACCCAGTTCTTGTACTAGTATTTATCATCAGTGGAAGGTGGTGGTGGTGGTGGTGTTGAAGTGTTGGGGTTGTGTTTGGATTAAGAATAAGCAAGGGGGGCCATGGTGGAGGTGAAGGTGAGCATCTATGAGGAGAAGGAGTAGGGAAACTAGTAGTGTTTAACAATGCATCCATTTGGGGATCAATAAACAAGGAATTAATTAACCTCTCTCTTTAGTCCTTACAGAGATTTGTTTAGTTTTGTTGTAAGTAACTAATTATGACAAAAATCAAACCAAAGTAATTCATAAGAAGAAATTGAGAAAGAAAAGTAGAGAGAAAGAGTGCAAACCAAAACCAAAACCAATTTGGGGATTTCTTCTTCTTTCTTCAGATTCTTCTTGTTCTTCTTCTGCTATTCAGAATCCCAAGAGCTCCTTGATTCCCACTTGGAGAGAGGAGTATGTTTTGGATAAGAGCAGCGCGTCTTTATATGTATGTGCGTAAATGAAACGACTGACATATCTTGTTCGAAACACAAAAACTACCTCTAAACGACGACGTTGCACTGCACTTAACCTTGTTTCGATGAAATAAAAGATTTTTGTGGTTTCTTTGTCTCTGTGCCTCTCTCTTAATTGCGATCGCCATCGCCATAGCCATCGATTGAGCAGATCACCTCAACTCAACTCACTGTTCTCTGTAGGTATGTGTGTATGTATCATTAAATTTAAATTTGAATAAGTGTTCAAAAATTTGTCTCCAATCATTTTATTAAATGTTTATGAAATCATGGAGCCTTTTTCTTTTTTCTTTTTTCTTCATCAAATTGAACACTCAAAACTTATTAAATTTTTCATCAAATTGAAATTTAATGAAAATTTAAAATTGAAATTTAGAATTGATTTTTTTCATTAATTTGATGGAAGGGGAAATTCGGGATAAGAGATAAATTTTTAAAAAGATTTTAATGAAAATTTGATGAAATGATTAAAACAATTCATATCAAATCAAGTTTGGTACTCAAATTTACAACCTGTTGAAGGTTGGAGATGGCCTAACACTACTCAATGTTAAATGTTAAATATAGCAATTTCTCTCAAAATGACAAATAAAAATGTTATGCGCGTTTCATCATCAAAAAAGTTAAAAAAAGAGTTGTCAAATTTTAGCTGTAGTAAACCTTACACCAAATTTGACACAAAATCTAAGCAATGTTTAGATTGGAAAAGCCCTTACATTCAGCTCAAGTATTTTTCCGAATTTACTGAGATCTTATAATTCTTTCCTATGAATTACAATATCACCAAATTGAAATTATTGTGTGATCAGATGTATTTAAAACAAAAATAAAATACTCATGCCCCATGTTATCAGATTAGGACAACATCCTGTCACGGCAATATTTTTGCTTTATGTTCTTCATCCTGTATTTTACAATGAGTGGCATATGTGCAATAGATTTAACACTTTTACTATGTAAACGAGTCGAAGCCATTAGTGAGTTGTTAAGCTTGACTTATTTAATGAGATTAGTGAGTTGTTAAGCTTGACTTGTTAAGAATTAATGAGATTAAAAAGAGTGTTCAAACTTGACTTATTTATTTTTGGACAATTTTTAATGAGATCAACTCGATCATGAGTTGAGCTCAAGTAGCTTAGTTTTCTATGTGGCCTTTGAAGTGCTTATTATCTTATCGAGTCAAGTTTGAGCCAAACTCATAAATTTTACAGATCTTCAAGTGTATTCAAATTCAAACTTTGCTTATTAAGGAAAACGCCCAAAGAGGCGGCATGTTCAGCTCCCTTGTCCCATTCTTGTACTTACCACAAAGATGTACATATTTTGACAGGAAAATGAGATTATATACCGATACTGGCTGCATATGCACATGAATACATCCAAATATGCATAATGTTATTGCTAATATCCAAATACACAGATATTGTATATGATCAATCGTGCTGGCTAGAAATACTGAATATCTACTAGTGACTTTTTTTGTTGTATTTTCTGTCATCTTTGGCTACTTTGTTTGCTCACTGAGTCTGTAAAAGGAGAAAGGTGCACTTAATTAAGGCTATAACAACAATGAGAAGGCTTTGAAATTTTATTTATTGTCCTTCGTCTTCTTTTAACCAATCAGAGAATTTGGAGAAACTGAGATGAAACGATGATTGCTATTATTCTGTTGGCATTTAAATGGTATCAAGGAGCTTACAAGTGAACTAATTTGAGATTTGATTAACTGCATAAACTAAATTCTTTGAATGATTTGAAACACTATTATGGACGTCAATTATTCTGTTTGGACTTCTATCCTTTGTTGGGCTTAAATTTTGAGATAACATGTCTAAAAGAATTGAAGTATAATTCATTAAAGAATGATTTTGAGTTATCAATTGTACAGTTCCTATAGGATGCTTCCATTTGGTATCACTGCGCCCCTTAGAATTACAACTATCCCCGCCTTGATGGTGTAGCCGTAAGCTTCCATATTTGCTTCTTGAACGTTGTCTTTATTTATGATCTACATAGCACCAAAGCACATATATTTTACATCAATAACTAAAGAAATACCCTTATAAAAGTATTATGGATAACTGTATGTGACGAGAATCAATTTATAGAGTAATGCAATCGAAGATCTCAACAAGCATATACTTTCTACATAGATTTATCTCCAATTTCTTGAATTATTAAAAATTGAGCTTCATGCTAATTGTTCTGTACTCATAGTTGCCATGTTGAAATTAATAATGGGATAATGCAATTATTGGTTTGAAATTGAAAACGCGTGGACCTCTTTTTCGTTTGCCACTGTTATAGGTTTTATTTTCAGAACTTTCATTGAAAACTCAAATATTAATGTTTGCAATATTTAAAATTTCAAAGTTGATAACTGCATTCTGATTATCCTAATGTTCATTGATTTCAGTATTTCTATACTATATCGTAGTACCATAACATTTTTGCCGATCCTTGCATTCTTATCAACTATGGCTTTCCTTACGTGTGAACCTTCCCCTATTCCAATTAGAATGTCCATGTCCTTGCCTTCAATGCCATTAGCCTGCACATCTTGCATCTGTAACAAACACTTTCGTGAGAAATAGGATGCCACATGGCGTTAAAGCCTTTGAATTTATACATTGATATCATTTGCAAAAACAACGATGACAAAAGCTTCAAGTGATGTTAAGAGAAACAAGTAAATTGTGGATTGTTTAGCAACAAATTATACTTGTCTCAATTGCTATGAAGATATCTTAAAATGACTTAGATTCATTTATTTTTTGTTGCATGCTTAAAGAAATGTTGCACGAATGGACTACAGCTAAAAACATTTATGATGTCTCTTACCTGATAGGCATCAGAACCCATGAGTATTGAATCCTCAATTATAGCCCCATCTCCAACCCTTGTCTGCAGACCAACAACCGTACCTTTGATGTTGCACCTCTGCTTATAGAAAATGTAAGAATAGATATCCAGAAAAGAAGATCAATCAACAAGATTCACATACAAGAAAATCTTCATAGCATGTATTTTCATGTTATTTTTGCTTGTGATTTATATAAATATTCAAAGGCTGAATGTTTGGTAGGTAGATATTAGTTTCTTACATTGAGAATGCAACCATCTCCAATGACGCTATCTGTTATGACAGCATCAGTTATTAGACTTGGAGGTAGATGTCGAGGCAGAGTGTACAAAGGAGAATCTTTATCGTAGAAGCTGATACCAAAAGACAAAGTTAGTGTCAGTCGATGAGGGGTCAGTTTTTTTAAAGCAAAACATTCACTAAAAGGAATGCACTGTCTTTATTCTTTCAGCTTTTCTTACTGACTTATATCCGATGTTTGTTTTCTTTGTGCTTTCCATATTTGCTTGGTAGAATGCTTTGATGCTTCTCATGTCCTCCCAATATCCGTCAAAGCAATAAGCATGAACCTGATTGAGAAATTTTCTTAGAGTTGAGAATGAAGGACAGAAACGAAGCAAAAAGATGATTATGATCTTGTATAATCAGAAAAGTCTGACCTTCATCCCTAAGGATATTGCACCAGGTATTACTTCACTTCTTAGGTCATTTGCTCTGGGAAAATATTCTCTTAGAAGCTTTTTCATCACATCTCTGTTAATGACATATATCCCCATTCCGAGAAAATTATTATGAACAGAATTGTTGGATTTCCCTGAGTTCTCTACCTGAGTTTGAAAATTAAGCTCGTTTAGAAAGTATGAAAAGTTTTTTTTTTAAAAAAAAAAAACTGGGCACAAAAGGCAGGGGAAAAGAACCTACTGATATGCACTTCACTGGCTTTTCTCCTAGTTTCTCTCTAAACTCAGTAACTTTATTATCGGAATCTACTTTGAAAATACCAAACTCTGAATCCTGATTTCTCATGCTAGCCAAGACTGCACAAGTAACATCGGCCTTCTTGTTTCTGTGGGCCTCTATAAGTTTCTGGTAGTCCATCCTGTAAAGATGGTGACCGGGAAGGACTAGAAACTCAACAACCGGATACTCTTCTAGAACCCATAAACATCTTTTTATGGCATCGGCTGTTCCCTAAGTAAATAAGAGGAAAGCCAGAAAGTTAAAAGCTACATTCATTATCAAAAACACAAATGTGAATTTTATTGGCATTAATAAGAGAAATTGGGAAAATAAAAACTGGTTGTTGACCTGAAACCAGCCCTTGTCTTCGAGATTCTGATACGCTGCAATTACTTCAACGAACCCCTCTTTCCCGAGACCTAGTCCAGAATAAGCTTTTGTAAGGTGAGAATTGAGAGAAGTGGAGTTGAATTGCGTGAGAGCGTATATCTTGTTTATGTTACTGTTAATGCAGTTGCTCACAACTGCATCTATTAGTCTATAATTTGCTGCTATAGGAATAGCTCCTTCCGATCTTCTCTTTGTCAGTGGGTAGAGCCGTGAATCTGATCCGTCTCCAAACACTATCGCTGCAACACTCTGACATAAAATAAAAATACTGGTTAAATTTCATCAATCATTGGAAACCAGCAATGAAATGTAACTCAAGGGGCAGAAAATAAGAAAACAAAAAGGAAGTTACACGATTACCATTTCATCACCAATAGACCCTCCTTAATAGACAAATGTATTAATGTAAGTATTTACAATCAGGAAAAATCATTTGACAAACATGGGATACAAAAATTTAGACCTGATTTGCTGAAGGAAATAGCATAATGGGATCTTGAGGTTGTGGCGAACTGGTCATAGACAAGCCCGGAAAAACAGTAGAAGGAAGCTTTGGTAGCGGAGGTTGATGATGATTTTGAAACAATCCAAGAATGGGAAGTTTTGGTTTCAGATTTACAGAAGCAGGAAGAGGAAGATGCAATGTCACCATGTCAATAGAAAAAGAGAATAGTAAAAAAAAGAAAACAAAAAATTGAAAACAAAAAAAAATCTTTCCCCTCCTCACAACGAAAGACATATAACAAAATGATTCATTTCATTTTGTCTGCCTTGTATTTAGTAGTGGTGGTGGAGAACTTAAGAGAGAGAGAGAGAGAGAGAGAGAGAGAGAGAGGATTACATATGTAGAGAATATTTTGCTTTCTTCTTCCACCTGAATTCTGCTGCAGAGGGATCTTTCTTGCCAATTACTACTCTAGCTGTATCATTTACATATATATATAGATAGATGGACTTTTTATCAATACAGACGTAGCTAAGAAGATGGATGTATTGAATTGTCAGAAATCCATGTTTGTGTTACCATGTCTGTGCTTGACTTTGATTCTAAGTTTTCCTCTATGCTTTTCTTCTTTATTCTTTTTGTTTGGGAAGAAGCATTTCCTTCACTTTGTTACCAAGGAGTTTAAAGTGCATCACTATTATTAACAACACATCATAAAGGCAATCTATGCCTGAGATCGCTTCTTCACTTGACCATTCTCCTGTAGAACGTCTGCTTTTCCCTTGTATTTCTTTTCTTTATTAAACCATAAAATAAAATTTTTAAAAAATATTTATAGTTTACAATTTTTTGCCTTCTTTTGATGTAACCTTTGGTGCATTTACCAGATGAAATGTTTGTTTGGCAGGAATAGAGATTCTGGTAGGATTTTCTAACTTGTTCTAAATCTGATATGAGTTACTAATTTTGAGACTTTCTATCCAAAATAATACTGGTTTACGTATGTGATGATCAGTACAACAGTTCTTTTATTTTGTATTTCAATTTTTTTTCCCGTGTTTTCGGGATCTCTTAGGCAAGAAAGATTGGTCTTAAAATTGAGGAAAAATGAGGCTTTGAGTTGAAGTATGTTAGCTTATATTATATGTGATGACATTTGGGTGGTTGCAGGCAGGTATTGACTGCCCTTTGATGACATTTGGGTTTATGAATTGTTGTAGAAAGTCTAGTAATGCCGGTTCTATAGTCGGTTTTTTGGTTACCCTATAAAAATCAATTAGTAGAATGTAGATGGACGATTTTTATTGATTGACAAAGAAAAATTTAGATGAAAAAAAAAAGTCAAAAGTTTAAATTTTAAATTTTAAACTGAGACAATTAAATAAGGGCGATATAGGGATAACAAGTGTTCATACTAAGTGTTTTGTATACTTTGTATAATAGTATATATGTAAATATGCAGAGATGGTGCAAAATCATTCACTATTTCCAGTATTAATTGTGAATGTCATACAAACAAGGTTATGTTTAATTAATGGATTTAGGGAGGATTTGAAAAGGACAAAGTATGTGAAATGTAGGTGAAAAGTGTTTTTTTTTTATTTATTATTTTTTTTAATTTTTATCTTTTTTTTTTAGTTGCATTACCTCTTTACTTTTTTACACATATAAAAAATTAAAAAATATAATTATTTAGATCATTTCAAATACTTTTATAATTATATTTTATTTATATTTATCCACTTTTTTCTCTTTCCTTTTTGAATACCTTCTTAAATTTATGAACTAAACACAGTCCAAAATGAAAAATCATGTATATGTGATCCATGTATTGCAAGGGAAGTTTATCATTGCCTAATAAATAGCAGATTGAGATTTTGGGAAAAGCCAGAATCATGGGGGGGTTTGGTAACATATGACCAACCGAAGATTGAACTTTCGAGTATTCCTTCTTTTAAAATGTTGTGTTTTGTCTGTACCCATCAAGATCAGACATTTTCAACTGGCCAGATCTCCTTTCTCCCATAAAAAAAATAAAGAGTTAATTACAAAGAAAAAAAGTTTTATGCATTTTTTATTTTAAACTCTAATATTTTAATTTTAACAAATTAAATTCTGGAATTCCATTCTCGTTGCAATATATTCTTTCAGAGGAGTTTAAAATGAAAAATGCGTAAAATCTCGGTGGTGTTTGGGGAAGTAAGTTTTTTAATTTTTTTTTTGTTTTTTTTTTACTAAAAGACAAATTAGTTACAAAACTAAAAAAAATTAATCCAAACAAAATATCACATCAAATCCTATAATCATTTCATTTTTTCTCTCACAAACATCACATCCAACCATAAAAAAACACAACTATCTTTCCAACAATGATGCTAGAGACCTCTAAATTAGAGGCTCTAAACACACCTCTAATGAGGTGGAAAAGGAAGAAAAAAAAAAAAAAACAGTGAGTGGGATCCATTGCCACATCACTAGTGGCACATCTAATTAGAGGTCTCAAGCATTTTTTATCTTCCCAAACACAAAAAAAAATTTCTCCAATAATATCTTGCAACTAAAAAAACCTACAAAAAAAACTCACTTCCCAAATACCCACTTTGTATAATTAACTTTTTTTTTAAAAATTAAAATTACTAAAAACAAAAAAGGTTAACTACAAAATAAACTTTAAGATTTCACGTGTTTTTCACTTCAGCGCTGCTTGAGGGCCCTAAATTTCGGGGCTCGAATGCCCCGAAATTCCACTTTTGGTTAAAAAAAAAAAAAAAAAAGGAAAAAAGAAAGAAAAAAAGAAAACAGTTTCCAAAAATGGAAATTAGGGGCATTAGGGGCAAATTTTTTAGGGCCACCAATCATTTTCCTTTTCACTTTAAATCCCAATATTTTCACTTTAAACCCCATCGGTTTCCTTACACAAATAGAAATAAACAAAGGGGACACATTGATATATGTAGGGCTGAGCAAGGAATCCGTGAAATCCGTAATCCGATCCAGTCCAGTCCAATCCGATAGGTTTGGATTGGTTTTTTGAATCCGTGGTTCGGTTCCGGATTGAATAATTAAAAATCCGTAGTTTACGGATTGGTTCCGGATTGAATCCCACGGTTCTGGATTAGAACCGATCCGGACCGTATACAAATAGTCTATATTTTTATTATACATCCTCCCCCATAGTATCTTTTCTTATTCTATGTAAAATCTAAACGCAAACCTAAAATCGTATAATATCTTCTTTTATTACTTTTGTTTGTTAGTTTTAAGTTTTAATTTGCAATGGTCTAAATACTTATGGTGAAACCAGTTTTCTTATGGTTGTTTAAATTCTAGAACAGTATGTCGTTATTATAGAAAAACATGTTGCTATTATGGAACTAATATAGCGCTATGTTTATATTTTTATGAAATTCAAGTGTTATATATATATTTTTGTTATTTAATTATGTGAATCCGTGGTCCTAAACCGATCCAATCCGTATTTAAATGGATTGGTTCGGATTGGTTCCATGATTTAAACGGATTGGATTGGTTCCAATTTTTTAGGAACCGTAAATAACGGATTGGTCCTGGTTTTATCCCAATCCGGTCCAATCCGGACCATGCTCACCCCTAGATATATGGATGGAACTTCAAAATTTAATTTTATTAAAATTGAAATATTGGTATTTAAAAAGAAAATACGTAAAATCTTGAGTTTTTTTTTTTTTAATAATTAATCCAAAAATAAAAAAAGTTTTTGGTGACAAAACCAAAGTGGGGAATGCATTGGGCATAGGGATGGCCATGCAGCGAGTTTGTTTTTCCTGTCTCTGCTTTCAAACCCCGCCCCCACCCCTAAACTCGTTATGGATGAAAATTTTCAACCCCACCCTGCCCCCGTGGATACCTACAAACACCTGACCACATTTCAAAATTTTAAAAACAATTGAGAATTATTTAAATCCTTAATACACTAAGAATCAGCTTTGGATGTGGGTTGACTTTTGGGCTTTTTGACTATTTTGGCTTAGGTCTAAAAAGGCTCATTAGATTTTTTGACTTTTGTAAGAGAAAAAACAAAATTATTATAATTTGGATGTGACATTTTGTCACTAAAATGGCATATTTTGTCTCATATGGCTAAAATATCGCAAACAAGTATCCCAAGCGGAGCTTAAATAATTTCCTAAAACAAAATAAGGAGATGACGATTTGACTTCTTATTTATTTATATTAAAGCAAGTCACAAATTCCTTTCTTATATCTAATTATATTATATATATTATTAATTATAACAGGTCGGATTTAGATCAGGGGAGGCGATACCTGCCCCGCTGCGGGTGACTAAAATTTAATCCACTCTTGCCCCACATAAGTGTCTGATTGGATAAAATTCGTCCAATTCAAAGTGAGTATAAACGAACCTTACATATCGGATTAAAATGATCATCTCTAATTGAACATTAATGATAATGTCAAAAAATAAATAAATAAATAAATTGGGAATACTTTGGGAGAATAACATATTATAACTAACGTTTAAATTGTAATTATGAATAAAAATCTAATTGCTTTTTGAAAGAATCATTTCTACGATATTGACCAAAACTTAGCTCATCACTCATCTTTGAACTTCACCTCACAGCAGAGACTTTATATTTTTATTTTTTTTGGCGCTAGTAAACACTCTCATTTGTGAATAGATCAAAACGATTAGAAAGATTAAAATCCATATAATAAAGTGGGACAGTTTTTGAATTTATTCTATATACATTTATCTTATTAGGATATTTGAACGGTTTAAATCTATTCAAATTATAAAATAACGGCTGAGATATATTTTTTAAAAAATATCCTACATGTACATTTTTTATTTTTGCGCTTCTCTCTTATTTTTTTCTTTTCTCGCCCATCCTTCTATGATTCCATGATCCCATATTCCTCTCTTTTTTCTTTTTATTTTTTTATTTTCTCCCATTATTATTTTTTTCTCTATTTGTTTATTTTTTTTATTTTATCATTTTTGTTCACATATTTTTATTCATATTATATGGAAAAGTCTGCGATCCCAGAATTAGAATTCAGATTTTACTATATGTAGTGGAGATTATATTAATAAATTTTTTAGTCCACAAATTAAATGAATTTGAATAATTAATTATTATTTTTAAATATACTGAACACCTAATAGACTTCGTAAATTTAGACCTCATACGAATCTTCAACATATTTTAATAAAGCAGAACGGTTTTTGAATCTTCAACATATTTTTGTCCTATTAGGACATTTGGATGGCTCAGATCTGTTCAAATTATAAAATAATGGCTGAAATATATTTTTCAAAAAATGTTCTACATATACATTTTCTACTTTCTTGCTTCTCTCTCTCTTACTTTTTTTCTTTTCTCACACCCCTCCTTTTATGGTCTCATGATCCCGCCTTCCTCTATCTTTTCTTTTTATTATTTTATTTTCTCTCATTTTTATTTTTCTCTCTATTTGTTTTTTTTTATTTTTTATTTTCTCATTTTTGTTCAATATATTTTACACATATTTTCATATAATGTATGTATTCCCGTAATACACTAGGACATTACGGGTATACTTACAATTTCCATATAATTATATAAGCAAAAGTATTATTGTATGTATGTCCGTGGAAATTGTATGTATGCTAGGTACATCTATCTATCTATCTAACTATTTATTATATAAGCAAAAGCGAGCTTTCGTGAGGAGTTTTGTGAGAATTCCAAAATTTTACAACAAATTTGTGATTTTATCAAATTAAAAAATAAATTTAAATAATGTTGAGATTATAATTATATTTTTGAGAGGGTAATTTATAATTGGGCCGAGCTAAGGGCTTCTTTGTAAGTTGGGCAGCACAATGGACCGGGGTAAGGTTTAACGTATCCCGATCTTAGAGCTAGCAAGCTTGATCCAGGCGAAGTTCGGACCGAGCTATGGATTGAGGAGCTTGGGCCTTGCATGATAGACCTCATCCTGGTTAGCCCGGTGAGGAATTGCTGCAATTAGCTCGGTTCAAACGACTAGAACCGAGGTGTACTTGGACGGGGACTGAGCTAGGCACTGCGTACAGAATCACCGAATTGAGTATGTCAAAGGGTAAGTGTTAGCTCGGTCATCCTATCATCCAACCGTAGTAAAACCATCTCACTTGGTTTAAGCAGTGAGGGGGGTGTTGAAGGATAAACATTATCTTTCAGGAGTGTGATTCCTATGAGGACTCTACTTGGAGGAATAAGAGTCCGACTAGGATTGTGCTAGGCGGAACCTATAAAAGCTCACAACATAACCTATGTAAAGGTAACACAACTTTGATTATCGAATACACAGA